ATGTGATGTATCACAACAGTCTGATTGTATCTGTATCTAATGTTGTAGGTTTTATTCAAAAATTCATTGAATGGTACGCCCCAACTATAGCATCTGTCGCATGTACATGTATAGTCAGGACAGTCCCAACTACCAGGTGACGACCAGTACAGTTTGTCTGCCCTAACTGTGGTTGCCAAATTTCTATTGAAAAATGCTCAAACTCCTCCGAAATTATGCTGTTCACACCTGATATAATTCTATACAAGTAACAACGGAAGTAACCCAGCCAGAAGTAGTAATCGGTAGCGCTACATGTAGGTCCTTCAGGCTCAGACTATTACTTAGTATTTTGTGGTACTGTGTAGTGTAAGCCAAACAGTATGCTAGGCGGTTAGGGTTAAAGCATGTGACATTCCCTGAAAGGCCCTTGAAAGTTCTGCACAGCGGGGTTGTTGGTGCAGGGTCAATTGCAAAGTCCATCCTCCTCTGGGCAGAATTTGAGCCGGTGGACCTGAAGAAGAAAGCTGATGCAGAGCAGACGGCAGCCGATCTGGATGCGCTGATTGTGGCAACAGTGGCAAAGCGGAAGGAGTTCCCCCCGAGATTGACTCAGCAACTGGCCAAGAAGCTTCAGTGTCAGCACACAGCTACAGTAAGTACAAATATGCATCTATATACATGTACATGTAGACAAACGGAATGTGAGGCTTGAATGCAGTGGGGCATTCAAGGGATATGAATAAGCCTTTCTTTTCTAGTCCTCTGGAAAATATTTCTCACTGAATATAGGAGACATATATGAAAAGGGGCTTCCAGAAACTGCCTCTACATTTGTCTTTCTCTTGGAAAGAGCAGTCATGCATACATGTACATTGCATAGTTTGCATTATAGATTAGTTTCACAGTAAACCTTGTCAGTCTTCTCTGTACGGATTAAGGCAGCGGCAAAGTATGAGCTGGGCTTTGCGGGAGGCCTCATTACATTTTCCAGGCATTTTCCCTTTGTTTTTACTTTGCCCAAACGTGTCCTCACTGGGTCACCCAGGGGATTATTTTCATAGCGATTTCACCGGATAAATCTGCCCGGACGTTGCCATGAAAAAAAGTGTCCCGTTAAATTCATTGCAAATGATGGAGTCACTCCAAATTGACGGCGTTGAGATTCACAGTGCTGTTAGTTTTTCAAAGTTTTTGAAGTACCGGTTCACATACATGTACATGTATACATGCAAGTCGTGTTGAAATGAGGAAAATCTCCTGACATGCCCAATGGAGGCATATCCTCATTGCCTGAAACGGGCAAAGGTTCTTGGCCCATGCATGATTTCCTCAAAACATTTCAAGTTGTACACCATACAGTTGTCTTAGAGTACGATAATATTTCTAAAGGACAAACCCGCATGGTGACAGTGTCTGCCATCAGTCATTAGAACATGTATTTGGGTGATGCCAGAAATTAAGGGTCCATACATATGATTTTTTAAGTTCAGAACACATTTTCTAATTTTCAAGAGTGATGAATTAATACAAATTCCCTGCCAAACAAATAGTAATAGTTTTGAAAACAATTCTGGTTGCATTTCCATGTCAAGTAGCAAAGGTCAGAAGTAACATGGACACCGAAATGTCACACTTTTGGACCCCTAAATTCTGGAATTACCCATATGCCTTGGTGCCATGCGATGCCTCTACTTGTTGACTCCTTCCTTTCTGCAGGAGCAGTACAAGCCTGTCTTACCAAAGCCCATTGAAGACCCCAGTCCAATTATATCTGCAGAAGGTGAGTTGTTGTAATGCACTTGAAACATTCAATTCGCAGCAGTCATTAAGGCGAAACTGATTGTCGCCCGACCAACCGTGGGGGAGGGGAACGTATGAAAAGCAAGATCATGGGTGTTATGGCGCACTACGCTGTACACATACGTCGGACTTGTTTTCAGAAGTTGGTTCTAAATCTGATTCATGCTTAACTCATTGGATAGGACTATACATTTATTGAGTCATATACAGTCTTTGGCTCTCTAGGGTAGAGTTCGGGCGGTCTGTTCTTGACACGGGTTTCTTGTTCTCGCGCTCGAACGGCGAGAACACGACTCAAGAACACTGTTCTTAGAACAGAAGCACACACCACCTCCTCGTCAGGGTTTTACAGGAACACACGGAAAAAGTCGTGAGATTTCGATTTTTGAACAGCTGCAAAAAGTAGAGCGATGGCTTCCAAAGCCATAGACCATGTAGGCAATGGGAAGTTTTGCAAAATTAACATTAATTATTTTACGAAACACAGAAATGAATGTTCCTGTTTATATAGAAAAGAATTCAGCCCATCCAAACCTTAACTCTCAAATAACGTATATGGACCCCGCCATGTTGCATGTTGCTTGTAATAACCGGTTGTTTGTTCCCGGCGTTCGAGCGGCCGACCCACGAACAACAAATCAAGCTGTTCGTGAACATACGAGAACAAGCCGCCCAAATTCAGCCTAGGTGTACAAGTGTGCATCACCAGTGTATGGTTACACGTGTGTTTTAACAGTATACACTGTACAGTACATGTGTGCCACAGTGACAGTGTATGAGCTACACGTACATATAACTGCATTCTATCTATGATTTAGCCTTTAACCCTAACCTTCCCCAACCACACAGACATCAACAGCAGTAAAGTGTTTAATTCTGTAGGGATAGGTCTGGTAGGCCCAGGCAGCTGGCTTTTGCATTGGGTTTGGCATACCTCAAAAAAACAAAAATCCAACAGTCTCTGTGCACAAAGTCCCATATGGGTGTTTAACTTTGTGTGAATGGAGAAGGTTAGGGCCAGCAACCCGAAGGGGGTTAGGGTTAACTTGAGCCCAGATCATAAATCTACTTGAGGCTAATGATGCCCCTTTCAGGTTCCAAATAGGAGAAATATGACTTCTGATTCAAGCTTTTTATAGTGGACTTGGGGAAGGGTCCGAATAAATGGTTGAAGGTCAATGGGGTCACTAGCATTTCATGATTTTTTTAACATGGTTCCAAGAACAAGGTCATTCCAAATCCAATGCAGGATCTCAACTCTTTTTCCAATGCATGTGATGCAGTGCTTTTTATAGCATGAAAACAAGGCATATTTTTTAGCCTGCAATCTGCTTAGCTTTTGTTGGTGGGAAGCAGTTTGAAGAACGAGAGATTCAAGACCCATTCAAAACATATACCGTACGCCCAAGTTGCATGAAATTCAGTTTGAGATTGCCATCTAGACATTGGGCATTAGACTTAATTTAGCACTGAATAAGGGTCAGCATTAGTGTGTTTTCCTTGAAACTCCTTGAATGTACTTTGTTCAATAACTAAACCAAGTGGATAAGACATGGTGGTCTGAATTGGCTATTGGCTGCTTGTGTACCGTTACATGGGTGAGGCATCAGCATGAAAATTACATGCACTGAATGAGTACGTAGGTAAATATTAAAACTAAAAGGCGTCACTTTATTTTTCTTTGGAGCAGATGAGCAGGATGTCTCCAGCCGGGTCACCGCATCCAGTGACCAAGTATCAGTTTTGTCCAGGGTACGAATATCCTTGTTTCAAGTTAAAAGGTTTCTGATGTACCTTTTTCGTTAAGGCCAGTTCACAGATCTGCGTGGGGGGTCAATCCCCCCCACCGCTGAGACACACACACGCCAAAAAAAATATCAATTGAAGAATGTAATAACGGTTCTAATAATGGTACTGTACACCTTTACAGCATAATGCATTACCCATGTGCCTGCCTGCCTGTCTACAACGATTGGCCAAAAAATCTGGCATTGAGCCTGAATGTAGGAAAAATTCCTGCATCCACCCATGGTTCAGATTAATTTTCAGGTTTACTTTATACTCCGACTGAAAAATCAAATCAGCCTTGTGGGAATTCATATTTGATGATTTTCACTTTATTAAAACTGAACACTAAAAGTGAATTAAGGGGGCCAAGAACTACTAAATCTAAAACAGGGTGAAACCAATGTGAAACTACAAAAGTATAGGCACCATTGAGATAGGGTCTACATTTGTTCATTTGCCTTCTATGCCATGTTAAATGTTGCATTATTGACAAATAAATGCTACACAGTATACATGTAGCTTTGTCATTGGTGGATCCTGGGGAGGGAACATGGGCCATGGCCCATCCTAAAGGAGTAATAGTTTGTTTGTTGATGCAATTGAGGGACAGTTTCATTTCCTTTCCTTATAGAGGGTTGAAAAAAAACCCAATTTAGCTTCAAAAAACAAAACTGTTTGTTCTCACCCCAGTTTCAACAATAATTTGCAAAAGATTGTGTTCAGCCCCTTGTATGGGTAACAGATGTGAGATTTGCTCACAAAGAACTGCTGGTCATTGAAACCAAAGTGCTTGATTGGCAACTTCTTCTGGGATATCATACGGTTTGGTTGTTTTCATTTGCACTTTGTCCCACAATAGTTTGGTTGTTCTTTCTCTCCTTTTCCAGTTACTGCCTGACTTGGAAGATAAGTCTGGCCGAATCTACGAATCCATCAATATTCATGCCAGTCTAGCTGCTAACAAAACCCAAAGGGTGATCACCAAGCCATCGGAGAATGAGTCCAAGATGGCGACATCCTTGACACCTCTACGAGCCCAAGCTCAAGACAATGAGACATCCACAGCTCACCCACAAGCTGCAACAGCTTCTGCACTGAAAAGGCAACGGCTTATGGCACAGGTCCACAATAATAAAATGAAACGCTACAAGGCTAGACCTGCCAATATGGGCAAGCCAACGTGAGGGGTTGGCCTCTTTGGGCTAAGGTTTTTGCATTTTCTGCTATTCTTGGTTGTCGTTTGAATTTTTTTGCTTTGGCAGGTTTTTTTTTTCCTTTCAAATTTTTACCAATTCCTTGAGTTTGGACAGTGTACATCCTTACTCATTTGGGTGCCCAAGCAAGGAGCAGTATGACTGATGACAGCATAGAACAGTGTAGATTAGATTCGGAATATCCCAACATCAATAATAATGTCAATTTTCCAGCAATTTTGATTAAGGTAAAATCGGTCAATTTATATATTATTATCTCCATGAAGTCTTTTGATCAAGTGGTGTGTTTCTGAGCATAGAAGGATACAGACCTCCTTCCTCCAGGTCACATCTAAATCTGTGCTCCATTTGTCATCAGACTGGGGCAGAAACTGAACCCATGCCCTCCAAAGAGCAGGTTCATATCCAGCTTCATTTTGTTTTGTAAGCCTTCCCAGCCGCAGGTCTAAATCTAACTCAATAAGTGGATTGGAACACTGCAAGTACCAGGCTCGTTGTGTTACTTGACTGGAACAAGACTCAATCCTGTCTTCAGTACACATGATACATGTTCTATTCATGCTGGAGTGAATTGCTTTGCCCAGGCCTATATTTATTATAAGATTATCTGTTGTGGGTTCATTTCGTTATCAGCTCTAATTTAATAGCAGAGTGGTGTATTTTTTAAGCTTTACTTTGCTTTGTTTTTAAGTGATTAAGAATGTTGTACATAGATGTAGATATTAACGTAAACCATGCGAATTATTCTATGCAAAGATATCTTTTGTATCTTTGCCAAGATTGTACATTTTAAGTGAAACATGAAATTTCCAAGAAAAATTCCACATTTTTAAACAGGATTAGGATTGTCCTGACGGATTGAATGCCAAGTGTAATAGTCACGGTTCCTAAACAATGTCCAGCATTTGGAACAGATACATCGATGCCAACCAGTGCAACATCATTCTCAGAGGCCACAATTTTCCATCAGCAAATCAGAGTGTTTTCGAAATGAGGGGATTGGGCGGAGACTTTGGTTTTGCTGGTTGCAGCCATTTTGAATCAGCGTTCGAAACCACATGTTCAAGCTCTGACAGGAAGCAGCGAAACCGAAGTCCAAGCTGAATCCACTCGTTTCAAAAATGCCCTTAGACAAACCTAAACCATGGTGTTAGTCCTCATCTCCATTGAGAACAGAAATGGATACAACTTTTGATATTTGTGCATAGCAGTTGGACATGCTAGAATGAAATAACTGGAAAGTACCACAAGGAACTATTGGCAGCCCTCTTCCATGTATTTCAGTGCTTGGTGAACAGGATATGAAGGGTTTTTCTCTTCAACAACTTTTTTTTGCATACAGTTGATACGTAACTCACTCAAAGCACTGTGTACCTGCACACACATACCTGTTTTACATACAAAGTGTGGGCATTCCTTTGTTCTCCTGTGGTTAAGGAAACTTGAGGAAAATGCTCCTTTTTCTCCAACTAGGATAACTCCTTTGAGCTGGATTTTTGTTGATGATTCCCTGGACTGTTCCTCTTCATTTTGCCGCAGGTAACCTTGACCCCAAAATGCCTCTGAAACTGTTTTTCAGAGAGGGGGAAACATTGTGTGGACGTGTGCGAGTCCACACTACGCCGTCGCACCCTACATTATGTGGACTTCTTTTGTGCAGAGGTCCACACCATGTATGCCACGCCTGCACATATTTACTGTACCGGAGCAACAGGGCAAAACCCATCACCCAAATGAATATTTGCCGTAATAGGAATTCAGTTGACACTCCAGGCATTCTCTTGATGGTATCTTTGTTCTGTTATTTTGACAGCCTTCACATTGAAGTATGGGCGATTCCACAGTTGGCTTTGTTACATTTGAAGCAATGTTGCCCCTTCATTGAGCTCCTTTATCAACACACGCAGGAATTCTTTCTCCATATTGGAAGGAGTGGAGAAGCTGTAACACCAGGGAAAAGTAATTAGGAACTGGGGTTTCCCCGGTTCACATTCACTTTTCCCTGGTTTACTTGTAGAATCATGAGTGCTAACAGGGAGGGTAGGCTCTGTAAAAATGAGAGTGAAGGAACATAGGCTTGTAATCCAGAAAGAAAGGTGACGTGGTAATGAAATGTGAGCAAGAGCTTTGCAGAAGAATACACGCAGAAAGGAAACACTATCATTCCTGTGTCTGGTTTGTTCTGTTAGCAGTACTAGACACTTATATTAAAAGCTGTGAAAAGTGATTTACATATATGTACATTCATATTTGAGAAATGCGCTCTGTGCACCCAGCATCTGTATGAAGGACACACAGGTTTACACCTATTCAGATCATGTAAACTCAACACTGGCATATTAGGATTTTGGCCCTCCTTGTCCCCTGATGACCAACGCAGATTTTCGCCACTGCACTGCATGAACCTCAGACTGAGTTTTTTTTTTTTAATAAATTGGTAACTTCCCCACTTTGTTTCTCTTAATGACAAATTGGCCAATATAGCAATACAGTTCTGCATTCGAATCAAAGTTTGGCTTGTCCATGAGATAAAATACAAAATGTTTTGCATATGTGCAACTGCAAGATATCAACCTTTTAGTATGCGGGGAAACTGCATTCAGTAGGAATTTCAACTCTGCACTGTACCACTTTAAGGAGAATTTGCTCCATTTGCAAACTTTAAAAAAGCAGACGAGGCAATTGTAAAAATCAGTCAAATTTTAATATATGCATACCTGCTACTCTGCTCCCCCGAGCTAAAGTGACTAACAGTATTCAGCTAATGGATTACTTAGTTATGAACCAATTATGAAAAAAATTGCATGCAGTGATGAATACCTTTCCACACTCTTTCAAGTAGTGGTAACCCCTATCCCTTGAAAAAAATTCAGGCAAGGTAAAAAAAAAAAAAAATGATTAGTTTTCGCAAACACAGTAACTTGATGAAACTGCTTTACAGACTAAAGCAATTCAGTGAATGGGAAATATTATACACTGTAGTGAAGAAAATACTACATGCAACTTCAAAGGATGGCCAACAGAGCCTTCGACTATTATACAGATAGTATGGCAACTGGGTCCCCTCCTGAGGTGAAGCAAGGGTACCAGGGAGGTCAAATCCCCGCAAAATTTAAGCCACAGAAAACTAACTAAAAATTCATATCGGTTTTTGTAGCTTTCCAAAATGCTCAATAACTGTGCATATGAACAAAGAATGACGTTTATTGAAATTATGCGTAACATTGTTTTTATTCAAAATTTTCTCACAAAACCTTTTGAGGGTTCCTGCACCTAAAGGACAATTTAATCAATCAAATTAAATTCTATGTCTTTTCCTTGACCAAATTAAAAAAAATCCATGACCCAATTATGATATTTCTTGGACCATTGGGACTTTTAAAGTTGCAAATAAACTCACACATTTTATGCACTTATCTCTGATAAAAGAAGTAACACACAGTGTTTGAAAAATTTGATGACTTTTCCGTGACATTTTCACAAAGTTTCATGACTTTTTCAGGCCTGGAAAACGAAAATGAATTTCCACATGACTTTTTTATGACTTTTCCAGGTTGTGGGAACCCTGTTTTAAATCATTTGTTATCGTCTTTAAAGTTACCAAGTAATTTCTTCAGTTGCATATGGGCGCCATGTCCAAATATGACCTGTTACGACAAAATGAGAGTCAAGTCACATCCCACTCTTTCCTATTTGTAGGGTTCAAAGTCACATTGAAGCGGAGTTCAATTTTGAGATTTTGTCATAATTGAAAAGAGTAACCTGTCTCCTATTTAATTCCAAATATTTCACAGGATCTTTATCTGCTGAATTAAAAAAAAACCAATATCTCAATTTTTTAAAATTCTGACATTCAGCTCATTTTGTGGTGACAGGTAACATATTTGGAACCAGTTCTTGCTGACAGATAAGTGCTTGTGTACACATTTCCACTACATACCCGATGACCATCCAGAGTCACGGTTATGAAGCATAAACATGTGGTTCATTCTGTCAATTTGGGGTCCAATTGTTTTAGTGTCCCTGTCACATCTGACATGATTTTGTAAGTTCAGAACGCAGTTTCTAATTTCGAAGAGATTAAATGAGTGCGGATTACCTGCCAAACAAATAGAAATAGTTTGAAATCAACTTCACTGATATTTCCACGTCAGATGTAACAGGGACACAAAAATGTTGCACTGTTGGACCCTGAATTTATAGAATGATCCCTTACCACTACAATCAATTTGTTACAACTTTAAGACGTGTATGTTACAACACAAGCCACGCCATTCCCAGAAAGAGCAACTTGTAAGCAATTCGCTTTGCTCCGTGATCAAAAGTTGAAAGTGATTTCTAGAAAGCCTTTCTATACCACTAAACCTACACCAGTGGCAAAATAAATTGTTGGGTGGCTCCTTCTTTTCCCTGGTGCACATCTGCTGGGGTGTACTCTCACAGTCCAAATTCCAGGTATCAAACCTCTATGTTATGCCTTCATTAACCCGTGTTACTCAACTTCGATGCACATGCAGTCCACTTATGCTGCCCTGTACAGTCACTTGGTTATATATATTTGCCTGGCATTTCCATTGATAGTTGCCAAACAAAGCCATTTGTAGAGGGGGGAACAATAGGTGCTATGACCCCCCAAAGGGGGACAATGCTTTTGAATTATGAAAGAAAAGAAACTTGGGAGGGGGGGTATTTACTTCTCTTCCTCCTGGAAACATGCAAAAAAACCAAAATTTAAACACTCAGGAAGGCTGCAAAAAGTTACACAGAGAAATCCCTTCATTTTCCACTAAATAAACGAAGAAAATTTGCATCTGGATCTGCCCTTTCACAAAGCCACAAACATAGTGCATGCAGCTCAAACAGAAAACTGTATGTACAATGGCATTACTTCAATCCTGATAAAACTGAAAGGGTGAGAACTAACAAAAAAGGAGGTGCTAATTAAGACCAGACACATGGCATATAAAGGAAGTACACAGTGCCTCTACAGCCCCGTGCCTATGCAGCGGGTATGCCAATGCATTGTCTGTGCTTACGCAACGCTGGCTCTTATCATCTCTCCAGACAAGACGTGATTGTACGCACACAGGCCAAGATGCCAATTGATCCGGTTAACTGTGACAGGATGAACTGTAACTGTTTGGACTGAAAGATTGGTGGTGGCAGGAGGGGGGAGGGGAATCGTGTTGCTGTGATCAACTGCTTTCTCCACCGTCATCTGATCTCACTGGGTCACATTGTAGAGTTCAGGAAGTTTAGTAGGTCCCGTCTGTTCAAATCACGCTGTGAAGGAAGAAGTTTACCGAATGCCGGGGTAAAATACGAAACTTCAACCTTGCACTGTCTTCAGTAATTATCAAGAACCCTGATATCATGATCAACATGACAAAAACTGCATTCTCCCGTGAGCCAGATTCCTGATTTACCATTTGTAGCAATCCTCAGAAATACATGTACGTTCTGATGTCTTTGGAAAGTGGACCAAGAACACGGAAAAGCTACTATTGAAATTCCTTTCATAGCACTCAAAATAGAGGCAAACTAGAACACTTGGAGGCAAGTGCAAACAATGACCATTTGTCAACCACTGGGTGAAGTTTCCTGGTAGCCCATGCACAAAAGACATCCTGAGTACCAGGCAATATTGACCACTGGTTGGCAAATTGTCGTCGCTCCAGTTGCCCCATGAAAGGCAATCACTAACTGCAAAGAGTGTATTAAGACTGTTAGGCTAAAGGGCCATCCAACATGACACAATTCCAGTTTTTACTTTTCAAACTTTCTTTTCCTCGTGGAGAGTGTTCCGATGCATGCTCCCGACAGCAGCAAATCACACCAACTTTTCTTCGGTAGGAAAAAGAAACGTGAACTCGTTCCTTGGTAACTGTGAATGTAATTTGGCATTGTAACTGAGAGCACTTAAGACCATCACATGACCCAACAAGACCATCGGAAGACCAACACAAGACATGCCTCCAGGCTGGATTCGAGTCACAGGTAATTCAAATGGACAATGACAACAAGCATTCCTTTGTCACTGCTCACGTTGGCCTTGTGACTGCGCTTGTGATGTCTTGATGTGTTCTTGTCTGTCTCTTTATCCTCTACCCACCTCCTTGTCTTTACTGGTCTTCTTGACTTTCATCTTGATCTTCTTCCCAGAGATGACACTCCTCTTATTGTCCTGCTTCTTTCTCTCCTTGATAAACTATTCGAGACATGGATCAAAAGACCACTAATGAAAACATTGCACTGGAGGTGAACAGATATCTTGGGGGGACAAGGTGACGAACCCTTCCATGTTAATCAAAATGTTTTCCACCAATTTTGATTTCTGAAAGGGTTCCTGAAAACATCCTCTTAAATAACTTTTAACTATACGAATGTTCACTGGAAAATATCATTTTCTATTTCCTTGATAGACAGTTAAGTTGAACCATACTGAAATCACCTCCACTAAGTTATTCCTTGAATTTTATTATCATACTTCACCTATGTAGGTCAAAGACTTAAATATCAAATTGTTTATTTAGCACCTATAACCCTGAGACAGGACAGGAGGGGCATGAATGCCTGAAGAAGAAACAGAATTTTCAGTTGATGAATTTTTCTTGTACATGTATCTAGACAAAACAA